TAATAATAATGACCAGTATTACAATATAATATCAAGACTTTGGCACTGGTTAAATGACCAAATTATTCTGTATATATTTCAGTGGACTATAGGGTAAATTTTGTTATAATTTAAAATAACAAAAATAAATTATATACGGTGAAAATGTTTGTAAAGGTTGTATGAATTTCATGATGATTATGNGTTTGTAAAGGTTGTATGAATTTCATGATGATTATGGTATTTTGATTAACGTTGGATATTTGGTGTTTGGTTGAATCGTGAGTAACGAGGTTCTATCGGGGTTGTGGAGTCCCAAGGGTTTAGAACAACGAAGACAAGTAGATATAAAAAAATATCATTTTATGCAATTTTCAATAATAAATAAATTACGAACATAGTTTTTTAAAAATTCTATGTGTCGACCATCTGTTAATATAATATTTAAGTGGCTTCAAATCATAAAAATACTAAATCAAGTTACCATGGATACACTAATGTTTATTTTTAAATACATATTAGTTTGTTTTTGCATTTAGTCCAGAAGAGCTAGTCTTTTGTGCCTATATACTATTAAAAACAGTCACAATAAATTGTGAAAAAAGTATTTTGATACATTGATTTTTTGCAACACAATCAAATTACAATGACGGTAAAAAAATTGTTTCGTCGGTTGGCAAGGGCCTTTACGTGTTGTCTTTCCAAAAAGCAGCGTAATATAAATGGTATAGTATCTTAGCTTAGTGTAGCCCAGGTATTTTTTTAATGAAATTTAGCTTAACACGATAGACAACAAAAAATCTCTCGATATCTAGTGTTTTCACACGTATGTAGAATTAATACACCTATTTATTTGAACATGTAAATGCAGTATAGATTTACATATTCGGTATTAAAAAATTCATTTATGATTTTTTTTTAAATTAACTATAATTAGACTAATTATTTTTGCAATTTAATGTATTATTAATTAGAAAGCACGGACTGTTACTTACAACTAGTTAGTAGACATGATATTCAGGATTCAGGAACTCAAACAACGACTACGTTAGAAAATGTATCTGATGAAAGGGTAAATATTGTTGACAATAACATTAACAAGACTGTTGATGGATGTGAAATGTCGGAAAAAGAGGTTCACGAACTTGGTATGGTGGAGCCTAACATAACAGATGTTGAAGGAGCAGCCATTGTGGAAAAGAGTATGCAGGAAGAGGGTACCATAAGTTTTTTAGAAATTGTTTGAATTTAAAATTGAAATACATTTAATACTTAAATTTGTATACATTTTTATAAAAGCTTAAGCATTTTAAAATAAATATTTTTGCAATTTACTGTGTTATTAACTAGAAGACAAGGAGTGTTACTTAAGTCCAGATAGTAATCACGATATGAAATCTGGCACAATGGACAACGAGGATTCAGGAACTAAAACAACGACTACGTTAGAAAATGTGTCTGATGAAAGGGTAAATATTGTTGACAATAACATTAACAAGACTGTTGATGGATGTGAAATGTTGGAAAAAGAGGTTCACGAACTTGGTATGACGGAGCCCAACATAACAGATATTGAAGGAGCAGCCATTGTGGAAAAGAGTAAGCAAGAAGAGGGTACCATAAGTTTTTTAGAAATTGTTTGAATTTAAAATTGAAATACATTCAATACTTAAATTTGTATACATTTTTATAAAAGTATAAAAATTTTTGCAATTTAATGTGTTATTAATTAGAAGACATGGAGTGTTACTTACGTCCAGTTAAAACACGTAGATTTAAAAAAGGTACTATATGCTTCTTCGGGAAAAAGAAGAATTCTGGCACGATTACTACAGATAATGGGGAATGTTATAAGTTCTATAGAGTAAGCATATTATTTTATCGTCTTCACTGTAATATGACAAAACTGGGTAATTAACATTTTGAGATTTTATTTTGGTTTTATATATATTTATAATATTTTATTTATTCTAACAAAATGCTTTTAACTTTGAAATATTTTAAGGTTTTCATTATTATTATTTTAATTAATAATAAAAAAACAATTATTTATTATGTTAATAAATCTTGAATATTTTTCGGGGGATATTAAAGAATAAAAAAAAATTTATTTAAAGTTATATACAATAGTGTATTTTTGTTTCCCTCGGAATAATTAAAAATATCGAGATATGCATGTAGGCACAAAAGTGAACATATATTGATTAAATAGATCCTAAAGTTTAAAATTATCTTTTTTTCAGGAAGATTTAAATTTAGGTTTTGATCGACCTTTTAAATATCCACAAAAAGTGAAATTTGTTGTTGATGATACACAGCCCAAATGGGCCTATGATGTAGAAATAATTGGAGACCCTTATGTTCGAAGGTAATGTAGAATGGTTTAATATCAAAAATAATCAAATTAATACTGTTTCGTATCTACAGGTGCTGTTATTGTTTAAAAGATGATCATCTTGGTTTAGAAGACTGTATGAAGTTACAGATAGATTCGTATAATTTTTACTATCCTTATTTATAACATAACGGTACAAAACCAGCAGTTTGTGATATTTATTCTGTTAATGTTTCAATTAAACTTATAAATTATCAATAAAAATTATATGTTATAAAGTTAATACTTAAAAAATAATGTATTTTAATAATATTCTATGTTATTTCTAATTCGTGATAAATATATTGTCATTAATTAAAGATTCTTTTGATTAACACATTTAATATAATAATTATCGATAGATGTATGGTAAAAAAAAAAATATAAAAGATATCTAACAGTGATCAAAATCGCTATCATATGAAACGCTTCGGTGTAAATCTATAGATAGTGTTTAATTCTAAGAAATTGATGGATAATTACAAAAGCAACATCAACTCCTATTTCTTTAATTATATCCTGATTAGGTTCTTTGATTTAAAAATATAATATTTGAATAAATACTAATTATAATATTTAAATTAAGTATGAAATTGATATTCAATATTTTAATATTGTAATTTATACGGAGAAATTATTAAAATAATAAAGTAGTTCTATAGTTCTTTACTTTTAACACGTATAAAATTTAATGGGCTTGATTCAATACTTTTCAATAAAAACTATCTGTTACTTATGAATAAATAAACTGGACTACAATGAACTTTCATCAGAATAAAAAAAAAAACTATTCTAATTGAACTGTTTGCGCTGTTTTCAAATCTTTAATTAGATTTTCTCTATCACTTCTAATTTATGATATTATTACTCACTAGTAAAAATGAGTATTTACATATATATAAAAAAAAAAATTATTTTAAAATTATTACTGATTTTGCTTTTTATTATGTTATATTTAATCAGTGTAAAATGACTTTTTAGCCTATTTTTTTGGTCCTTATAATTGTTTTCGTGAAAGCTTATAATAATAATAAAAAAAAAAAAAAACCCAGCACAAGAGGGTCGCCGCACAGTGATGCCGTGGTATAGTTGGATCAAGTATAGATGATATCTGACAGTGATTANCGCCGCACAGTGATGCCGTGGTATAGTTGGATCAAGTATAGATGATATCTGACAGTGATTAAAATTACTATTAAAATAAAACGCTTCGATGCAAATCTTTAGATAGTGTTTAATTTTAAAAAAATTGTGTATTATTCGAACAGCTACATGATGTGCTAGTTTCTTATTAATATCCTTATTAAGATAAAGTATGTCGAATGAAAAAAGCATTATTAAAAAATATTATTTCTCATAAAAAAATTATGTTGATCCATACACTTTTCAATAAGTTATAGCATTATCAATTTAGAAATGTAAAAAATAAAATCAAGAATTTTCACACAAAAATTGCCATTTTCACCACGAAGACAGGTCCAGAGGGCAAATTTTTTTTATTCTATAATATAGTACATTAAATTAACTTTAATTTAAGATATATATAAAAGTGTCAGACTTTCCGGAACATTTTCAAAAGTCAAGTTAAAAAAGTTAATTTTTTGTGAAAAAGTTGTCATTTTAAATCCCCCCCTGTGGGCAGGTTAATNGGAACATTTTCAAAAGTCAAGTTAAAAAAGTTAATTTTTTGTGAAAAAGTTGTCATTTTAAATCCCCCCCTGTGGGGAGGTTAGTTGTTAAATTTACAAAAAAAATATACCAACTGATAGGTAAAGACATCAAGCATCTATAAAAAAAAAATTATATTGATATGTTCATTTTTGAAAAAGTTACGGCTGTTTTTAGTAAAAAAAATTGAAAAAATTTCGAAAATTAGCAATTTTTATATTTGTAATTTTTTTTGAGGTTTCCCACATTTACGGGGAACGAGGGAATTTTTTTCAATTTTTGAAGGTAATGTCTTCGACTAGATACGATTTGTGATTTTTTGACGTATCATTGAAAGAAATCGGTTCGGTGAGAGCTGAGAAAAAGTGGTAACAGACACGAAAAAAAAAATAAAAAAAGACATCATAGTAAAATTAATACCTTCTCAGCTTCGCATCGAAGCTAAAAGTTGAATTTGTTACCATAACTTTTTGCACAATTTGCAAGTCTGAAATTGACATAATTAAATAGAGAATTAAAAAATGTTATTGTTAAAATTTATATGCCAAGCATTTGGCCATATACGAAAATTTGATAGAAAATTAACTTTAGACAAACTAATTTATTTCTATGATTATATATGAAAAGATTAACAACGTCAATGACGACAAGATGAGCGAAATATTGTGTAGACGAAATTATTAATTTGACACGAGAAAAGAAGGATACTTGAAACAAAAACGACAAAATAATTTTACAATAAGAAGGCTAGGAACCAAGAAAGAAATGATTTTTCAAGCACCTAACCTCTACCCCGACAGATTAACTTGACCAGTGATAAGAGATGACGGGTGACCTATTAGTCTGACCATGACTCAACAATAAAGTTTGCGTGCGCAAACACACTTTTTATAACAAACGAACAAAAAAAAAAGANGCGTGCGCAAACACACTTTTTATAACAAACGAACAAAAAAAAAAGATGGGCTCGCAAGCGCCATAGAGCTTATAGCTAAAACGCGTTAAGATGGTGGCGACAATGCAGACATAGAGAGAAGACCGACAATTTGGTGTAGCACAACGATAGTATAAGTAATCACAACACACAATTCCTCAACAGCACATTTGACTAATGTATGTCTAACGTAATTAAATTGAATATTATTTATTAATTGGCCATCTTTGTTGACTTATGATAATGTTACTATTAATGATATACACTTTCATAATAGGTACTCATGCTAGCATTGATAATTCTCATAGAAAAATTCTAATACTATTATTAAAATTAAACATAGAGATAGTGTTTTCTTCTGTTAATTTTTACATAACGTATTTCATTGTTTGATATTATAGAAAAAGTATAAAACCATTTAAGTTTTAGTAAACTTTAAAATGCTGTAGAAATTTAGCGACTGCATTAAAATAATAGTTTATGGTATGGGCATTTTTCTTTAAAAATAATCTGCAAAATAGCTATTTTGAAATTTCCAAAATTAAATAATTTTTTTGTTTTTGTTTTTTAACGCAAAAGGAAAAAGTTAATAATCATAAGTACAGAATATAGTCCAAGTCTGTAAAATTGATAAAAAAAAAAAAGTGAATAATGTTAGAAGATCAAAAGATGTGAGAGTTGTCAGTTAGATCTCTTCCACACTGTAAAAAAACAACCTTGTAAAAAATGTAACCACTGTGATGCGTTAATCGATAAACTTTGTTGACAAAACAGTTTTTTATATATGTATATTACTTTAAGATTGGTTGCACTATTTTATGTATTCATCTCTTCTATTTTTTTTATTTTTTTTATATTTTAGAAAGTGTTTAAGATAACATTTAAATTTTAAATAAAATGCCCTATTATTTCCTTGGTTTAAGAATTGAACTATTCTTTGGTGTATTAGTTAGAGAAAAATATTTTAATATTTAGCCAAATATTTATAATTTAGTATTTTGATGTTAAAAATCTTTAAAAATAAATTATAATGTGCTGTGAGTTCACAATTCTAGTTAATAAGATTTATATTAATATTTCCAAAAATGTCTTTATGTCGTTGAAAAATTTTTCCATGAATCATTTAAATAGTTATGAGTAAAAATAAGCAACTTTAATATATATTCAAATTTATTCAAAGCAATTATTTTTTAAAAACTTAGTCTTTTAAAATGTATGCAGATACATCATAAACATCGAATTTATCAATTAAAGAGTGATTTTTGCTGATAAAAATGTACATCATCTTTGATGTTTATTAATGAGATTGTAAATTTACAGAAAAACTTTTAATAAATTATAATTATGTTTATGGAATATTTTTAGTTTATTTAAACAAGTTTTTATAAAACGATTTCAATGTAATTATAAATACAATTACCTTTTTAACTAAGTTCATTAAACTTTTATTATAGTCAGAATTTATAACTAACTAAATATTTATAAAATCTTATTGATAGATTAAAAAATAATGTTTTAAATTTTTAGTGACTTAAGCGTGAATGAACTATCTAAATTTGAAAAATTATTTGATAGGTTTAGTATGGTGTTCAAATGCGTTTATGGAGATAATTTTTTTTTATTATTTAGTTTGATAGAAACAGCAGTAAAAACTATTGCCTATAAAAATATATATGCACTGTGATGCCTCTGGGGTGCATTTGTTAAACATTATTAACACCAAATCAAGTTGGCTGAAGCGGATTTTACGGGTATGTTGTTTTAGTTTTGTTATTAAAGTAAAAGAAAACGATCAATTTTATATATTTTTTTAATATTAACCATAGATAACAAATAAAAATGTTTATCGGCCATAAGGAGATCTTTGTAATTTCTGTTTAGATATTAATATTCACAAATAACCTTTCGTACAGTAGAGTTTACTGATTAACGTCGTTAGGTAGGCGAAGTTTATTAGTCAATTATAAATAGACATCTTGAAACACACTAAGAATTTATTTGTAAATGAATTTCTTCGCAGTATGATTGGAAAGTAAAAAAAAAAAATCATTAGTAACTTCACTATAATTGTACACATTACGGTTACTTAAGATCATTACATACCGTGAAATTCGCGTTTTCCTAATATAAAATTCATTTGCACTTGTATAATTACAATTAGAGTTAGAAATGCGTACACATGAAAATCCTTTCCGCCGGTATTATCTTATTTTACGCGGCTATAACCCACTCTTACTACTTGGAAATTTGTATCACGTGCATTCCGAAACTTCTGTTAAAGAAATTACAATAGTAATTGTTATTGTAGTTGCAATCTCAATTTACAGAGACATACATTTATCACAATGAATCTGTTGATGTTCTTCTAATAAAACTCAATACTTAATACCAGTGTTATTATATTATTGGCTAATGTCTACTGAAACTATTATGTTATTAAAACTCTATTAATTTTTTAACAGATTTTGTTTTGTTTTTACTATTTTAAAAATGGTACGTGTCTTGCATAGTAATGAACGGATATTAAAGTATTGAACTTGCAGCAATGTCTGGAAGAAAGATCAATGTTTGTTGCGCGTACGACTGAAATTTATTTATATTCAGGTGTAGGCGTAGTGTGGTGCAGTGGATCATTCAGTAGGAAGAACCTTAGTGCTAGAGTTCAACTGCGCTGTTTATTGTTAGTTCCTCAATGT